AGTTTTTAAAACTGTTTATAAATGAAAACACTTTATTTGCTGTTTGGTTTTATATAAAATTTTATTTCCTACATGATACCAACGATTTAAACATTAATTATTTTCACAAAGACTTTATTCAACATGTTTTACTTTGTTATAGTCCTTGTTCCCAATCCTCTGCTCAAAGCGGAAATAACGAACAGAACGAAAATGGAAAAAAGGCTCGAAGATCTACACAATTATACGAATTAAGGAAGGCGCAAATTAAGAGTGAGAAGGAAAGAATAGAAGCGATAAATAAATTAACAGCTGCTATTGCAGAAAGCAACGAAATAGAAAGACAAAAAGCAGTTGCTGTTAAAGAAAGTAACAATATAGAAAGCCAGAAAATAGCTGCTATTCAAGAATATAACAATCTGCAAAAAGAAAGGAATAAGTTATTTGAAATGTTAGTAAACTCAGCGAAAAATTAAAAGTAAAATAACAATTAAAGTATAAAATACATATTAATTAATTTAATATTATTACGGAAGTAAACAATTTAATACATATAACAGCGCGCCGTTGACCACTTTCGAGCGGGGAAAAGAAAAGACTGATTTTGTTACATCATTATATGTAAACTTTATATAAAGACTAATGCTAAAATGTACACAAGTTACTAAAAATATTAAGTAAGATAAGTTACTAATATGATACGTTACTAATGATAGGTTACTTGATAAGTTATATTACAAAAACTATTAAGCCCATTCTACAATTGCGTAAGCGTAATTGTAACTGGTTGTAGTTGTAAGAATTAACCAATCACAGTCAAATATGAGGAGAATATTCGACTGTGATTGGTTAATTCTTACAACTACGCTTACGCAATTGTAGAATGGGCTTAACATACTATAATAGTGTAAATTATTTATCACAGTAAAAATAACGCTTTTTCGTTCTTTAATGCCGGTTCTACATTAGTTGCAAGCCGATCGCAAGTTTGTTGCGACAGCCAATCTGAAGCGTAGATTTCAAAATGCAAGCTTAATAGGCCTTCTACAATAAGCCATTATTACCTAAGTTTTAAGTATTAAGTCATAAGAAATTGACCACTCACAGTCGATTATTCTTCTCACATTCGATTGTGATTGGTAAATTTCTTATGATTTAACACTTAAAACTTAAGTAATGGCTTATTATAGAAGGCCCATAAGATTGACTGTTGCAACGAACTTACGATCGACTTGCAACTAATGTAAAATCAGCTTAATACAAGATACACATTTTGTTATTACAACTCATCAGTTTTTCGCAGTTTTGTATTATAAAATATATCTTCGACAAAAAGAAAACGATATTAACTTAAAATTTTGTGTATTTTAACTGTTTTAATATAATATTTATAACTGATCTGTAATATATCTGCGTTTTTCTATAGCCTCTTGTAATTCTTGTTCGTCTTCTTCTTCTTGTTCTACTTCATGTAAATTTTGCTCTTCTAAATATTCTTCATCTATATTCAAATTATCACCATCTATTATAAAATTATGTAATGTACATGCAGCTGCAATCATTTTGTTTCCTAGATTAAAATCTGAGATGTCAAGGTATTTGAGTCTTCTAAATTTTCCTTTCAATAGCCCAAATGATCTTTCAATCCTTGAACGAATGCAACTTAATTTCATATTATATCGTGTTTGTGAGACTGTTAGACGGCCATTGTCCTTATATGGTGTCATTAAATTCATCATCAGTGGATATGCTGAATCACCTATCAAGTGCAACTGTCGTGGTATGAAATGTAACCTCGCATTTGATATGTTTTCAAATAATGAACTTTGCCTGAATACTCTTGCATCATGCATTCTACCTGGCAAACCAATAAAGCAATCTATAAATTTTCCCCTATGATCGCATACTCCTAAAAATATGAAAACAAATGTATTAAGTATCATACAGCATTCAATATATTCGAGCACAACAATATTATTTACCTTGTAATATAATGGAATGAAATCCTTTCCGATTATAAAAATCATGCGGATTTCTTACTGGCTGTTTACACGGAATGTGGCAACCATCAATGGCACCTATAACACCTTCAAAACCGCGCGAACGATTCCTAAAAATCTGGAATAATTTAATAAATTAATAAATTCTTAATAATATCTAAGTTTAAATAAATTTGATATAAAATATTTTTAAGAAATTTTACATTGCTGGATATTTGACATTCGTTAGCATCTGGCCATTTGACATAGAGAGGAATTAAATCTGATAAGATAGTTATAACGCTTTTAAAAATATTGTGACCACTAGATTTTGCCAAACCAAATCTGTCACCCGTAGCTAAAAAACTTTCTTGTTTGGCCAGGACCCATATAGTAAATAGCAGTTTCTTTGATGGGCTTACATCTACATATTCTTCTGGATTTAATAAAGGTATAACTATATTTAATAATGCCTGAAATTAAATTACAATGACAATTAAATATCAATAAATAATTTAATATAATTATAAAATATATGATATACATATTTTTATTTCTACATTTCTATATTTTATAATTACCTCAAATGTAACTCGCGACATACGAAAGTGTTCTAGAAATTGTATGTCTGTATACCTAGGAATAACGCCTTCAAAATAATTTTCATTTTTCGGTCTTTCATTACGTCGTGCGATTACATCCTCTGGCAAGGGATTAACCAAATCATTTATAATAAAATTAAGCATGCCAATATTAATTCCATTATTAAGCAGTGCAATATTCAGTCTGTTATTGAACATATCAATATTTAATTCATCATCTATTGCAAATAATATTGCATCCATGATTCCTGCTGCC